TCGGCCCTCAGGTCGGACTTCGTCTTCTTCACCTGGTTGCCTGCGTTTTTTCGATGACCCCTCTCTCTCCTCGTTAACGTCGTTTTGACGTTCTTTTTTTTCCTCCTTTTTCCTCCGTTCCTGTAACGACCCTAATTTTCTTTAACCTAATTAGTGACGTCACCCATGCATACATAACTCATTAAGCGGAAACTCATCATAAATAACCTTGGAAACAAAACAAAGTCTTTCATAAACTTTCATAAATCTAAGACAACCTATCTCCAGAAATAAACTTTCAATAACTGAATACAAAATAAATCCAAATAAAGCAATACTCAATGTTATAACTTACAACAGTCCAACAGAGGTAAACTCCTAAAAAAATATCCCCTCTCCAACTTCCATGGTGTCCTCAACTCCACCGTCAACCGTACATTGACACCTTGCCTTTACCTAAAAATGTAGGTAGCACGTGGCTTGAGTATTTTATGAAATACTCAGTAAGTCCTCCCACTGTTGAGGTTAGGAATGCAAACACATGCAACATATGAGCGGGACCTAACTTTTTATAAACTTTTCATAGCCTTGGGCGCTTTCCTATTCTGGGTAGGGTTGGGTGTGTGGTACTCCTTCACACACGGCCCATGTACGTGTACATGGACCCACCAGGCGGGCTCGTAAACATACCCCCTTGGCCTGACTTGGTCGGGCACAACATGTTACACATAGCCGGACACCACAGAATAGAAAAGGGCTCACATGATATCATGACGAATATAAATATCGTATTTCATTCTTTCGTAACATAAAGAGGAAGAATCCCGATGCACGTGACATACATATATGCATGAGGTCCCTTAACATATCTAACATGGCATTACATAACCAGTGCTAACATCGCGTATACGTTTCTTACATTACATGGCATCTCACATAACTTGCGTTACATGGCATATTACATAGCATGAAGGTACATTCCGCGTATACGTTTCTTACATTACATGGCATCTCACATAACTTGCGTTACATGGCATATTACATAGCATGAAGGTACATTCCAGTTGCATAAACATCTCATGACACGACTCGATAATTCTACGTGTATCCATGGCATCGATCAACATATTCATAGCATATATTACTAACATCTCATTCATAACTTCACATAACATAAACAGTTAACAGTCAACAGAATTCATACATCACATAACATACACAATCGACAGTTAACACAATCTATACATCACATAATCATATCACATAAATATGGTGCATGCAGGGGCCACAGGGCACGCACCATCATACAACACGTAGTAAGCTAACTCCAACAGTAATGTAACGACCCAGATCCACCGCTAGCAGATATTGTCCTCTTTGGGCTTTCCCTTTCAGGCTTTCCCTCAAGGCTTTAAAACGCGTCTGCTAGGGGAAGGTTTCCACACCCTTATAAAGGGTGATTTGTTCTCCTCCCCAACCAATGTGGGACATCACAATCCACCCCCCTTCGGGGCTCAGCGTTCTCGCTGGCACTCGTTCCTTTATCCAATCGATGTGGGACCGCCCCCAAATCCACCCCCCCTTTGGGGTCCAGCGTCCTTACTGGCACACCGCCTCGTGTCTACCCCCCTTCGGGGAACAGCGAGAAGGCCGGCACATTGTCCGGTGACTGGCTCTAATACCATTTGTAACGACCCAGATCCACCGCTAGCAGATATTGTCCTCTTTGGGCTTTCCCTTTCAGGCTTTCCCTCAAGGCTTTAAAACGTGTCTGCTAGGGGAAGGTTTCCACACCCTTATAAAGGGTGATTTGTTCTCCTCCCTAACCAATGTGGGACATCACAATCCACCCCCCTTCGGGGCTCAGCGTTCTCGCTGGCACTCGTTCCTTTATCCAATCGATGTGGGACCGCCCCCAAATCCACCCCCCCTTTGGGGTCCAGCGTCCTTACTGGCACACCGCCTCGTGTCTACCCCCCTTCGGGGAACAGCGAGAAGGCCGGCACATTGTCCGGTGACTGGCTCTAATACCATTTGTAACGACCCAGATCCACCGCTAGCAGATATTGTCCTCTTTGGGCTTTCCCTTTCAGGCTTTCCCTCAAGGCTTTAAAACGCGTCTGCTAGGGGAAGGTTTCCACACCCTTATAAAGGGTGATTTGTTCTCCTCCCCAACCAATGTGGGACATCACAATCCACCCCCCTTCGGGGCTCAGCGTTCTCGCTGGCACTCGTTCCTTTATCCAATCGATGTGGGACCGCCCCCAAATCCACCCCCCCTTTGGGGTCCAGCGTCCTTACTGGCACACCGCCTCGTGTCTACCCCCCTTCGGGGAACAGCGAGAAGGCCGGCACATTGTCCGGTGACTGGCTCTAATACCATTTGTAACGACCCAGATCCACCGCTAGCAGATATTGTCCTCTTTGGGCTTTCCCTTTCAGGCTTTCCCTCAAGGCTTTAAAACGTGTCTGCTAGGGGAAGGTTTCCACACCCTTATAAAGGGTGATTTGTTCTCCTCCCTAACCAATGTGGGACATCACAAGTAAGGTCACTTACCTCGATGGTCTTGGTTGAAGTCTCTCACAATGAGCTAATTCCAGTGGTTAAATACGTCCTATGATAACCACATAAAAACTTAGTAACCTTTCATAACATACCCTAGCTTAACCTCAAGCTATTTATCAAAATCAACCCCCGACCTAAGCTGTCTTTAACGTTTAGGAACCATACTGACCTCGGATAGTAAAACTAAGGGCAGAAATAGCTTCGGAAGGGCCAAAAACCTTGGAATCGATATATTATAGTGATACCTTGCCGCTAAGCCTAGTTGCCGAGCCGGCCAACTAAGCCGCCAAGTCGAGCTGCGGGAATTGACGAAACCGAGCCGATTTCGTACACGTGCGAGCCGACCCGCTTTGTGTACGCATGCAAAACTGCCGAAGCTGCTGGGTGTGCGTCTGTGGCTCGACCCGATTCCAAAAACCTCGCCTTCCTTACCTGACAAGCGACGAAACCCTAGTTTCCACCTCCCTGATTCCGGCGACAAGCCAACAATCCCACAACGTCCTCAACACCGATTTCCGATGGTCAACCTTCTTTGACACAATGATCCTAACATCAATACCTTACTTCCACTCGATTCTTCCTCCGAAGAGCAACCCCAACGTTCTAGAGGAAAGTTTGGAGAGAATCGTTTTCAAGGGATGTAAAAGGTTGGGCATAGGAATATAAAACCAATATGAAGACATTTGCATTCTAGGGTTTTAGGATAAGGAAACTCAGATAAATAGGAATGTTTCTATTAGGTAATAAAAGTCTAGCACGAATCAGAGATTACATTTAATTATTTATTTTAGTTTTAGGTAATAACTTCCGTGTTGAAAATTGCACATTTTCCAGTTAGAATAAATGCATAACATAATATCTTGTCATATATAAAAATAAAAATAAGGCAAAAATGGAAAATCTGAAACGTTACAGTTCCCGAGTCTCTTTCTCCCCCTAATTCAGTTTTTGGTATTGGTTTGGTTCGTAAAGGCCTCACACTCCCAGATCTGGGATGGTTCGGAAACTCGACGTTCCGTCTCCCTTGTCGACGGTGTACAGCGCGTAGGACTCGTCTAAATCTACCTTGATGTTTGTAAAAGGCTCTAAGATTACTTTTGTTGCGTAAAATGGAGGTTTTGACGTCGATTTCGTAGGGTTTGGCCTCACCGGAGTTTCGTCGAATTTTCGTTGTCTTCTTCGTTTTCACTTATTTTTTTCTTCTTTGCAGGTGTCTTGGGGTGGCTGAAGGTTGGGATCGAGTTCCCTTGGCGACCCAGACTTCGGCCGCCCTTGGTGGGTCATGTGCGAACGAAAACTTCGGCATTCGCCGGAGTTTTCGATTATGCTGACAACTCCTTTTTTTTTTTTTTTGATCCGATCCGTTACATTTACATTGGTCTATTGTTAAAAATCTTGAAAGGTTATATATCTATAATTATGTTTCTATTAAAAATCTTATTTAAGAGAGTTGATAGAGTTATTTGAGTCATTCTTCACCGCCCTCTGTATTTGCTTTTTTTTTTTCTCTTTTATCTGTATTTACTCTATTGCCTTTTACTTTTCTTGTTTTTTTCTTTATCTGTATTTACCTATTGCAATCCCTATTTCTAAATCCTTATCTCTGTGTTTCCTTTTCTTCTCAGTCTGTTAACACTATATTCTGTTCACAAATTTTCTTTGTCATTTTATTTTTAATCAATTCATTTGTCTACCCATATAAATTTATGGATCTAATATTATTAATCTAAAGTGATTTACTAGAATTCATATAAATTATTGGCATTTAGCTTCTAACTCGGAACTAAACCATTGTAATGATTTAATGAAGATTTAACCATCATAATCGGATGTGATTTCTAAAAAAAAATAGGACAAAAAATTAAGATTTAATATATATTTTACTAAGATCCGATCTATCTCCACGTAAATCTTGGAGGTGAATTGGGTAAAGTCATTCTTATTTTTTTCCTCAAATTAAATAGTCAATTATTGTTTTTCTGTTTTTTTTTTTGCAAGCTGTGATTGTTTTTGGCAAAGAGGGTTGAGGAGAGATAATTGGGGAACGAATGAGAACCTCAAATTAAATCGATCAATTATTGTTTTTGTTTCTTTTTGCAAGCTGTGATTTTTGTTGGCCAAGAGGGTTGAGGAGAGATCATTGGGGAACGAATGAGAACCTCAAATTAAATCGGTAAATTATTGTTTTTCGGTTTCTTTTTGCAAGCTGTGATTTTTTTTGGCGAAGAGATAATTGGGGAAAGAAGGAGAAGTTAGTAGAGAGAAACGAGGAAGATTGTTTATCTCTTTTTTAATCGCAAAACAAGGAGACATAATCAATTGCAAAACTGCCCACTACTTTTCCGCAACAAACAAAGGAAAAGAAAAAGACAAGTTTTGTATGTTTTACGTATCTTTATAATCATCATTTTCGAGCTTCAAAGGAACACAATTGTTTTACATATCTTTTTTAAGAGCTACTTAGGCTTCACGAATGGCTCGACACGAGGGGAGCAGCGGAGCGGTTTCGATGAGCACGGTGGCTGTTGCAATGGCATTGCTGCTGCTTGGCTTTGAACATGGCGATGCTGCTACAACTTTTGTTGTTGGCGACTTGAACGGATGGAACCTGGGCGTGGAGGGATGGCTGAATGGGAAGGTGTTTAGAGCCGGTGACATATTAAGTGAGTTTTCAACTCTCATTTTGATCGTTGAATAGTAACTGATGTTTTACTTGTGTAATCGTATCTATTAAGATTGATGCTCTGATACTATGTTAAGAATGAAAAACAGAAGTGGGATCGAGAGTCCGAGAAAAGAGAAAATATTCTACTAACCAAATTCTTAAGATAAGATAAAATATATCAAAACACAAGTCTACTAGCAGACGCATTTTAAAGCCTTGAGGGGAAACCTGAAAGGGAAAGCCCAATGAGGATCTGGGTCACATTATGACTATATAAAATATATTCCAATAGTATCCTATCGAATTCGCAGTTAGATCATTAATAATAAATGAAACGAATACATACTTTTTTTTTTTTTTTTTTT